CTTGCCCGAGTCAGAACATGTAGGTGGTGCAAGATTGCAAGATTTCCTCCATCTACCGTACTACTACTACTACTACTACTACTACTACTACTACTACTGCTACTACTACTACTACTACTACTACTAACATCAACAACAACAACAGCAGCAGCAGCAGCAGGAACAGCCACAACGACAACCGCAACCACAACCGCAACAACAGCAACAGCAACAGCAACAACAACAGCAGCAGTAACAACCACAACAACAACAACACCAACCCCTACGGCTACGGCTACTGCTACTGCTGCTGGTGCTGCTACTGCTACTGCTACGACAACGACTACTACCACTACTACCACAATTGCGACTGCTATGCCTACTCCTACGACCACGACGACGACGACTATACTGCTGCTACAACTACAAGAATGCCCGAGGCTGTGATTCAAAGCTCCTGGACCACCGACACTTCGTCCGAGAAGCGACAAGACGCTACACTGTGCGGTGGCCCCAGGGCATCCACAGGGCATCTTCACGGGTACAGGGCTTCAGGCTTCGGGACTAGGATTGGTATGGTCTCTTCGTAAGTCAGAGAGAGATGAACATCTGACACCCAGGAATTTCACCAAGCATCATACTCAGGCTGCTGGCCTGTCTTGCGGCGTCTTGCGCTAAAGCCGCAGTACATCACCAACAGGTGCCCCGTGAATGCGAGGGCTGCCGGAGGTTGGAATGATGCTTTATGGTATAGAATGACACTGGTGAGTAGCACTACAGTAACATAGCAGCAACAGCGATTGCAAGCATCATCCTGAACTTGGCAGCCTTCCTCTTCTTTCTACAGGTTTCGACCATCGTTCAAGCTGAAACCATGACTTGTGGGGCAAAAGGGCTTTCAGCTTTCTGTCTGCACAACTCGTTGGTCACCGCTCGGGTCCGGTTGAAGTGAACAACACATTGGAGGAAAAGTGACCCCACGTCATCAACTTCAAGCTTAAGTGCATGATTTCTCTCAGCGTGGAAGGGGTGCAGACGGGGGTTGCTGAGACCGGGGGTGACTTCACATCCACGTCGATTCTTCCTTGCACGTATACGTGGTCCACGACCATACGGTTAAGTCGGCCTCATGGCTCTTGTCACAACGGGCTTGTCGTTGCAGGCTTCCCGGCGCACCGAGCCTCTGGGATCTCCATGCAGATGGTGGCAGTGAACTCCTGTGCCATGGTCTGATGGCGTAGCGTTTCGGTTGTTATTTTGTTATCTCAGCACAGGGCGACTATAAGCGGCTCGCATAAGCCGTGGAAGACTTCGATGATTTATGCTTTTCTGTTTCCAAAGGTCAGCTTATCAATAGTAACATTCAGTAATTAGGTCCACGCAAATCATCTGAACTGGACGACATCACAGCTTCTCCTCTGCTGCCTTTCAAGTGTTGGCGCGTCCTCCCATCCTAGCAGGGAACTGCGAGCAAGTCTTGGTGTCCTAGTCGATCCTAGTGGGTGCAACAGTTCCCAAATTATGCGTTGCAAAATGAAGGCAAACACGAAGGCTACAGCAGCAGCATGTCAAGGCCGAGTCTCAGTCATGGCAGCAGGTGGCCTGGGCAGTACAGAAAGTCCACAACAGGCTAAGTCCAAAGGCCGGGCCGTGGGCGCTTTCACTTACAACACCACGGATAAAGTAGGAAAACACCTTCACTAAAGCATGCGAGAACTCAGTGAAACAACCGATTCAAGCATCCCTGATTTTGCGGGAGAGGAGTTTTTGGCCCTGGCCTTAGGTGCTTGGCCCTGGACTCCCGGACTCACAGGTACACCTCGGACGAGGTGCAGGTAGGAGGAATCCCAAGTTGGGTTTTCCTTCAGGTAGCATTCCCTTCAAGCGACCATAGCTGTGACAGTCGACATATCTGGTCTGCCCGTCAGGGTTGAGGTTCGGGTCGGGTTGGAGGTTCAAGGGATGCTGCACACTTAGAGCTGCAAGGATTTTTTTTTGTTTGGGCGGTTTGGTGGCCTCCTTGACGTACATCTCGCACATGAAGTACGATACGTATGCCCATCCAGTTTGACGCCTCAGGAGCCACTTGGCGAGCTGAGTGTGCAGACTTTGCTCCTGGCCACTTCCCTCAGTGCTGGAGGACTTATATTGCAGGATCCTCGGATGCGATCTGTTCTGCTTGGTTTCTTTGTCCTTTGGCTGGGCACTGCTCTCTAGCAGTTGACCACACTTCTGTCTGCATCTGATCCTTCACAGCGCAGACTAACAAGGCAAACAAGTGCCAACAGCGCCATCAAGCCAGACACCTAACCATTAGCCCTCCAACAGTGTCTGTGCTCCTAGCTGGAGAAGTTGATGTGCCACTATCACAGTTTTGATCCGCGGTCCGTCAAAAGTCCAGTCCAGTAAGTTGGCAAGTGTCCAGGATGTGCAGTGCTCCTGACTGCAGGAAGATTCACGGCACGCTCTTTCGCATCGGTATTGGTGCTGGTGCTACACCACGTAAGATAGCCTAAGATAATATCAGAAAGATAGCCTAAGATAATATCAGAAAAGCATGCGCTACAAGGTTTCACAGCCGAGTGGCGTGTGGGAGGAAACATCAAGGGTTATGGCCGATTTCCGGCGTCACTGCGAGAGCTACGCTCTGCCGCTTTGTCATTGGCACCAAATTTCTGGCGAAAAGGGGCCGCTTCTCATGCTCATGATGCTGGCTCCCAGGGTCGGGTTGTGATGCTTGTGGAAGCTGCAAGCCCCCGGGCCCGTCGAAGGCTCACTTGACATCGGGACTTTCCTTGTAGGTTAGGCTGTGTGAGACTCTATCTGAGCTCATGTCGTATCGTTTCATAACATTGCATTGCTGTCCGCGCCCCGTCCTGCGGGGGCGCGCGACTCATGTCTGAAGTTTGAAGCCCTCGCCCAAGGCTCCAGCACCGGCTGATGACGCTCGACTCCTGCCGCGGTAGCCCTGACTCACCAGGCGGCCTGGAGCACGCCACGCAGGCCCGCCCCACCATGATTAACAGTGTGATTATGCTGCACGCGGTATATGTAAGTGTTGATGTCGGTTTTTCGTGAACAGCTAGGTGGGTCATTGTACTTTTTACGTATATCACAGATATCGCAATCTTATTGGTTATTCGCATCGCAGTCACGTTGTTTGTGTTTGAGTTGTGCTATCAAGCTAGTCTCGCTCACTAGTTCGCGCGTTTGTGCCACCGCTTCATGCATTATGGTCCGACCATGTGAGCCGCGTCTTCCCATGTAGGTTTGTCGAGACTAGGTGACTATTGATGGACGACAGTCCTACCTCCTCCAGAACTTACTGTTCGGAAGAGATGGATAGATAGATAGATGGATGGATGAATGAATGGATAGATAGATAGAGAGATAGAGAGACAGAGAGATAGAGAGATAGATATATAGAGAGATAGAGACATAGATAGATAGATAGATAGATAGATAGATAGATACATAGATAGATAGGACATAGGAACATACATGCGCGCAATAGACTATCTTGATGTCAGCGATGAGGACGTTGATGACGACGACAACGACTTCTGCTGGTACCGGTGCTACAATCCATGGCCACGTGCACAATACCACTACGACGACTGTTGCGACCGACTACTACTGTTGCCAGTACTACTACCACTACCGCTACCACTATACCACCACCACCACCACCACCACAAGTACCACTACCACTACCAGAACCACTATTAGTTTTACTATACTTGCTACTGTTACGTCAGCTACCACCACCACCACCACCACCACCACGACCACCACCACCACCACCACCACCACTGCTACTGCTACTGCTACTACCGCTACGAAGATCACCAGCCATAGTTGGGACAGAGACACATCAACAACGACCACCGGTAGCAGTCGGAAAATAGTCAAAACACCAGTTGACATGTTGAGGTCAGAAGGTAGCACCCGTGCCCACGACTGGCTGACTCCAAAACCCTGAGCATGCAGATCCTCCGCTGCGGATGCAAGGTCACACTGTCGCCTGGGCTGGATGCGCTGCTTTGCTATTTGCTTGCCGAAGATCCCTTGCTCTTGCGGGCGAGACCCTCAGGGACGCTAAGCAGCTTACCTTTCGAAGTCACAGGTTTTGTGTGAAGAAGGGCCTCGGTGACAATCTAGCTGCTTTGCACGGTAAGTCAGTGATTGTGTTACATTTCAGCCAGCATTTTTGTCTCAACGGTGTCCACCAGACATCAGGAGCTGCGCAGCACCCTGCACCTGCCGATACCGGAAGCTGCACAGAAGTTTTGCCGGCCAGAGGACCTGTGACAGCAGCTTGAGCCGTTGCAGGTTGTTTGCTCCTGTACCATGATGGCACTATGCAGGGCTTCCACTTTAGACAAATCCGGCATCGTTGTTGCGCTTCGCAGCTTGGCGGAACTATGCAGTGTTGGTTGACGCAGATCATCCTGGCTCAGACTTGAGTAAGTTTGTCGTTGTTTTAATGTGCCAGCTTTTCCACCATCCTACTGGGCCCTCGTATGCCATCCTGCTCACTACAGCATAGGTCTAGAGATTTAGTCCTTCGGATTTGGATTCGCCTCGCGGGCATGGCCGTAGCGATGGCCGCCACGAGCTCCCAGCCCTACTGGGCTCTTGCTACTCGGCTCATGGCAAGCCTGAAGCTTGATTTGCTCCGCGACTTCATGGCATAGCATCCGTAATTAGACCTAGCTGCACCAGGGCTCTGTTCAGAGTCATTTGGGACCGAGTTGAGGTTGCAAGTCACATTCACAACCCGATCTCTGGTCAAGCATACCATAGCAACGGTTGTCTGAACATGACTGATGTTTCTTTGCTGCGCCGCTTTTCATCCAGCCTGCAAGGATTCGGCTGCACAAGCTGACAACGACGGCCGCTACGCAGTGAGTCGTGCAATGTTCCGAAAGGAGAAGGACCGCATGATTGCAGCAATTCGCCAGGATGCCAGTGCCTTGTGCTCCCAGATCTCAGCGCCGTAGCAGTCATCCTACAAGATTACACGTAAAAGCTCTCTCTCGGACTTTAAATGACCCTGCCTAGAGCATTCCCTCTTGATCCCTGTTGATCCCCTTTCCTCATGTGTTGAGTAACCCGAGGTGCACTTCGTGATGCTTCAGTCGAACTCCGAAACGACAGGGAGGTCGTGATGGCGGCCCTTGAAGAGAATGGCCTTACCTTGCGCTACGCGTCTGCAGACCTGAAGGACGACGAGGAGCTTGCGATCGGGACTACTTTCGGAAATACTGCTTAAGGGTTGTTTTGTACATAGTAACCCAGTAAAGCCTATACAAAAGCCTATACATGCCAAGCAAAATTGTGAACAATTAAAGACTCTGAACTGAATTGACAAATATGTTGCAGATATGACGCATTGCAAGCCAAGTCAGCCCTAGGTGATGGCAGCAGTTCAGCGGACTGGCTTTGCCTTGGAATCTGCCTCGCCCGTTCTTAAACGCAGCAAAGACATCGTTTCGGCAGCCGTCCAACGCGATGGCTTGGCCTTGGAGTGTGCATCGGATGAGTTGAAAAATGACAAGGACGTCGTCCTGGCAGCTGTATGCCGTGATGGCTTGGCTTTGGTGTATGCTTCAGATGGACTGAGGAACGACAAGGATGTGGTGATGGCAGCAATTGATCAAATCTGGATTGCAGTGGAATACGCCTCGGAAGATCTGAAGAGAGACAAGGAGGTCGCTCTCAGTGCGATCCATCAAAACCCAAAAGCCCTGGCTTCTTTGTCTAAGGACCTGAAGAGGGACCAGGGGGTGGTTTTGGCGGCAATTCAGCCGAGCCCGCTTGCCCGAGGCACCTCAACGAAGGAGTTGAGGATGGACCACGAGGCCGTCATGGCCGCACTGCGCAAGGAATGCTCTGCGCTGGTATATGCCGCTGAGGAGTTAAAGAAGGACAAGGGCTTCATGATGGAAGCAGTGCAGACCAATGGCTTTGCTTTGGAGCACGCATCTATGGGCCTGAAGAAGGACAAGGATGTGGTATGCCGGGCGGTTCATCAAAATGGGCTGGCCTTGCATCTAGCTGCATCCGAGCCGCAGAACGACTCAGACGTAGTCTTGGCCGCCATTCGTCAGAACCCCTTCGCCTTGAGCTATGCTCCTACTTGGTTGAAGGAAAGCCGGAGTTTCCTGTTGACAGCACTTCGTGAGAATGGACTTGCCTTTGAGCTCGTTGGTGAAAGTTTGCAGATGGACAAGGAGGCGGGCACGGAGTCTCAAGGAAACAGCTTTGGGAAGATGTTTAGGTCTCTATTTGCTGAAACCTGGATTCCGAAGCCTGCTGTCAGGTCGCCTTGGTGGCAGTTCAACAGAGCCTGTGCGGCAAGCATTGTTTCTAAAGACAGGTGTCTTCTCCCGTTCACAAGATTCAATTTGTGGTTCTAAGCACGTACTCGTCGAGACTGTTTGCTAGGAATGGCCTCGCCTTGGAGCATGCTGGAGATGAGCTCAAGAACAATTTGGAGGTCGTGTCTGCGGCTTGCAGCCAAGATCCTTGTGCTTTGGAATTCGCTTCGGCTGGCTTGAAGGATAACAAGGACCTCGTGATGGCAGCTGTCCTTCGCAATGGCGCTGTGCTGAAGCATGCTTCGCAGCATCTCCAGATGGACGATCAGCTCCTCTTGGCAGCAGCTGCTCGGCCCTTGCGCCGCTTCTCCCATGAAAGAGCCGAGATTGGAGCGGGGCCATTTTCAGCGAAAGGGAGACTGCAGACACAGGAGCTCTTCCCCGAAGCGGCCTTGGCGGCATTCAACGAGCCAGGGGATGTACAAGAGCTGGTCACACGACCTCTCACGAGTGGCCTGATGACGGAGCCGCCAGAGCAGACAGACCTCCAAGTCGACCCAGCTGAGGATCATGTGGATGCATCAAGTGTCGAAGATGCAACATCGGATGGTGTGCTTGAAGTAGAAACAAGCGAGGCAAGTTCTCCGAGACGTCCAAATGCAGACATGCCAGACGAATCCCAGCACCGCACGGAACCGTCAACCCCTCCGTCAACACCTCGAACGGAGTCAGGAGAGCCCGCCGCAGAGACAACGAGAGCCATGCCAGCTGAGGAAGATGGCTGTGAGGTGGTCGACCCCAGCTCGAACCAACATGACGAGCCGAGCCACCTGGAGGATCGATGCATACAGATGAGCCACGAGCAAGATCTGCCTCAGAGTCAGGAGGCTTCATCCGAATTCGGGCATGAGGCAGTGCTCGCCACAGTGCCTTTGTCAGCACTGTTGACAGGCTTTCTCGTTCCGAAGCTTTAACACATGGGTTCAGGACTTTAGGATGCTGGAGTGTAGTCGGATCCGCTTGCTTTGTGCAGCTTGGAGGTGCAGCGCGATCATCCCGGCCTGGCGCTGGCCACCACGAGCGTCCCCATGAAGGGGCCTTCTACGCTCGAGTGCTGTTTCGGTTTCTTTGTGCAGAGGTAGACGAGGAACCCAGAGTCAAGCAGAAGTCGTCCTTTGATAAAGTTCTGACCTATGGCTGCGTTTCCAAGTACACATCTTCAATTGTTTTGGCTCCTCTGAATTCCTTGCGTAGGGCCAGCGCAGTGTGAAACAACCACAGAAGCGCGAAAGCGTTTAGTGTCAATTCCCACATCGCCGAAGCTCAGACAGAAAGGTGATGTCTTTTTTCGTTTGTCTAGGGTCTCGTGGAAGCATTATAGGCAGCCTGACTAAGGAGAGTGCGAAGGTTTGTTGGGCTTCTGGACTTGTTGCTCTCGTCTGTCCTGGTGTGGTGCTAGTAGTACTTCCGAGTGACTGCAACTTTTTTGTACTAAGCAACCAAGCCGCTGGACGTGAGATGTTGGCGGGCACGTGTGCAGTATGCTACACGTTGCAGGACAGGAAGCTCCTTATTGACCCTGCGGGAAGCCCAGAAAACGGCATCAGACTCGAGGTGCACTTTTCACCATCCATACACCAATGCATATTGGGATGCCGAGCTTCAGTCCATGGCAGCAGCAGGATTATACATGCCCGACGCAATTACATCCCATCACGTCATCGAAGGCAGTACTCGTTTGTCACAGAACTTTGCGGTGGAAGAAAAAATGAAGAGAGAGATGTAGGTATGTCCTGCTGGTGTGGATGGATCAATGCATGTGAGCAGCTTCGTGTGTGCGGTGGGGATACTTCAACACCCGAATCGCTTCCAGTCCGAGGACAACTGGGTCAGCATCCTGAATGCCGAGCCGATCTTCGAGGCTGTGTGGCGTTTGGTGTATGCATGCAGAGTCTCTCAGGATAGTGACTACTGGTAGTCTCAGGAATTGCAATATCAATGGATGCGATGGTGCAGAGTGCGTGAATCACAGTAATCATGTTTATAGAATTAGTCGCAAGACTGACGATGCGCGTCAAATTATGATAATCAAGAGTTCAATAGAATCCTAGAGTTCAGGTGGTGCGCCATGTGCTAGCTAAAGGCATTCTCGGGAAGTCAAACTTCCCCTACACCGTGTGGAAAGCCTCTGACTGCATCATCGCTACCTTCCAGCTTGAACATGGAGGGCAAGAAGATGCGCACTCTAGAGGTAGAAGTGCCCAGTACCGCGTCACGACAAACAAGCATCAACATCCAATGCTCCCCCCTTTCGGGATTTGTCTTCGGACCCTAAGATCTGGAAATACCAAGTCGCAGACCTTGGTTCCACAACAGGATGCAACATGAGATAACAGCTTGGGAAATGAAGTGCAAAGGCGGTCGATGCCTTCGCTGCGGAGCGGCTCCAGCTGGTGGGAGAGAAAAGAGCGCAGTCGAGGTTCTTCAGATTCGCTTCGACTTGTGAAGCCTCTGCAAGCAGATTTTGGCTCAGAGCGCTTTGCAACCACCCCATTGCCAAGACCACTCTACGCTTTCTTCGCCTCAGGTCTCCACCGGATTTTATATGCAGATGACAGCTCACACAATAGAATAGAAGAGCGCCATGGCACTCCGGGCCATGGCACTCCGGGCCGTGCAGCAGAGTCTGATTCGAAGCAGATTCATGCATCCTCGCGTCTCAGAAACTTTGCTTGCTGCTGCTGCAGTCGCACCAGAGGGCGGGGAGCTCTGGACTTCGCCCAGGAGGATGGCTTTCGACCATGCCGTCACTGAAGCAGAGATGGGTCTCCTCAGCGGAGCAGCTCAGAGGGCCTTCTCTTCGGGTTTATTCTCACAAAGTGCAGCCGACTGCTCCTTGGCTCCTTTGGCCTCGGGCGCAGCGGACGAGGAGCTTCTTGGACTTGCCGTCCAGGAGCTAGTGGCCTGCCTTGCCGAGCGGTTTTTGCAGCGGGCAGTCTCCGCAGGCTTCTCCGTCCACCTCTCCCAAACTTCTGACGGGGACTTGAAGCTGGCAGATTCCTTGCTGGCCAAGCTGAGCCCTCCTTCGAGGAAGGACCTTGAAGAGAATCCACTCGGGGCGGAGCAGGGTTATGGCTATTGGGCGCCTCATATCGACAAGGCCAATGTGCCCGGCTACGACGTCAGCGCCATCCTCTACCTCTCGACCATGGGTGAGCAGTTTTCCGGGGGGGCCTTCGCCTTCAACGACGCTGATGCGGACAGGATCGTCGAGCCCAAGATGGGGAGGCTTCTGCTGTTTGACTCAGGTGTGGATTGGGCTTGGGGGGGTAAAGTCTAAAGGAACTCCAGCGTTTTTGCTTCCCAACTCCCCAATTGGAAGCATGTGCCCTGACATGGCAGGCCCCAGCAACTTGCACCAAGTCTATCCAGTGCTTTCTGGCACTCGCTTGGCGCTCTCGGTTTGGTTCAGCCGTTCCCTGACCAAAGACGCGGTCGGTGCAAAAAGGATCCGCTCGTTTGGCTGAAATTAGTCTTGCGACACTGGCGAGCAGAAGGCAAAGGCAGTGAATTCCCCAAAGCTGACCAACGGGCCTGTCAACCTCGATCACCCTCTGTCTCCACGCCGACTCTCTGCTTCCGACAGGGCTGGGGTTTTTGGATTGTCCCAGCCCCTAAAGTCTCATCAGCGCCCAGGCTGCACGATAAACTGGTTCAGAGAATGGCCGGCAGAGGCACTGTCCTCTGTCGCACAGCAGCAACTGACGGTGAACCAGGCCACCGCTTTCGGATCCTTGTGCTCAGTGTGTGCAGATATGCATACAGCTGCATTTGCATTTAGCAGTAGAAATCGGTGTATCTGTATACAAGTACGAATGAACAGACCAACTGCGCACACATGTTTCTCTCGTTGAGTGTACTCCAGGAAACAATGAACCGCATCGTCGACATGTCAAACTTCTTAGTGTAGGGATCAGTGTGGCCAAAAATTATGAGTAAGTATGATTGAGAGAAATGCTGTTGTCGGTATATGCTTGTGCTGTGGTTGGTAGCGCGGCTACTTTTCAGAACGCGATTTTTGTCCATGCTGTTTGTGCACTGTACTGCTGCTATTGTTGTGCAATGGTGCTCTGCCTCTCTAGGGGTTTACGGCATATGCATGCAAGGCTACCCTGCAAAAACACTGGCCGCCACACCGCTCCTCCGACAAAGAAATCAGGAACAAACACTTGCGCAACAATGAGAGGATAATTGCCCTCGCGCAGCCTCAAAATGCAACCACTGAAAAACACAGCCAACAGGCAGACAGTGAGAGCTTGCAACAGGTCATCCCCAGTGCAGACGAGCAATATACGAACGAGACAAGCCAAACGGACACAGTTCAAAGCACCCAAATCGCAACAACAACACTTGTTTGTGGTGTTTGCATGCTAGGGTTTCTTCGTGTTGTGTCTTTGCATATAATAGTGTGGCTTGTAGCCCTTTTGAGCAGACATTTCACCAAAGAGACTTGGATGCTTTTGTCACATACTCTAGGCGTCGTTCGAGTTGTTGTGACGCTTTTCTGTGTGTCGAAGACAACTCAACCCGGGACGTAACGTACTAGGTTACTAGGTGATGCTTAGTTACACACTGGCTCGAACGGCAGCAAGCATGTGCAGAAACTAAACGTGCGACTACGAGCTCTCACCCTATGCAAGTGTGAACACTCACCACCCAACGGTTTGCAATGCTGACCACAAACTCATCCGCACACGAACTCAACGTCCGTAGCTCGACTCGACAGGTGCAGCTTCCTAACTTCGACGGCTCCGTGAAGCTGTTTCAGGCCTTGTCCATGTTTCGACCTTTCGGATTTCAAGCTTTAGGATTGGGAATAGCAGTTCACAGATGCAGGGGCTTCATGTCCCGCATTGGGTAAGAGTCGAGAGCTTCTACATCTCAGCGGGTGCATTTGGCGTCCCACTCCAATCCCTAAAGCTGCAGCCGTGCAAGGTTCAACTGTTACAACCTCAGGCGCAGTTTCTATCTTTTACCTTCGCCTTTCGAAGATCAAGACCCAAAGAATCCCACAGCCTTGAAGTCTTTAACCCTAGACTCAAACTGCTAAGCCCTGTCACCCGGAACCCTGAACTCTGCACCTCTTCACCCAGGTGATGCATATGAGCGTGGAGCAAGCCTCCAAGAAGTTCTTAGAGCAGAACAAGCCAGGGGCTCGGCAACATCTTCGTCTCCGATGGTGTCTTCGGACGGACGGAGCGGAAAAAACTGTTGATTTTTGGCGCACTATGTCTTGTGATCGTTCTTCGGTGGCCCCTCCCGCTCTCAGACTTTCTGTTTCTTTCTGGAAGCTTGAGAAAACTTGGTCCTTTCGTCGTCAAGAGCCTTGATGCGACCCCTGATCCTTCGGAGCCGCTGTTCTATGATTCGCTCCCGATTCGTAGTGTTGTGCATCCTTCTCATGGGTTGGTCCTTCCAGCTACCCGTCTCGCCTTTCAACATAATGACCTACTTCTCATGTCGTGCAGCACACCAAGGCATTACAGCCCGGTAAAACCCGTAAGGCTCAACCCGCAGCATCAGTTTCGTATACACTCACCAGGCGCCATGTCTACAACACGCCGACCAGCTACCTTGAGCTCCTCTCCAGCTTCATATCAGTACTGGCCATGAAGCGGAAGCAGGCAGGTTCCTCAGGCTGCAAGGGTACCGGCTAGGCCTAGGGATCCAAGATTGAACATGTTTCCATGACCTGGCCGCAGACGACCTGACAAGAGTTCCGCACGAACAGGTGGGCACGCAGCAGAAGAGATACAAGGCCCGCGACTGGCATTTGGAGCTTTGGTTCATTCAAAGCCTTGATGAAAACAAGCATGTTATGAGATTCCCGCAGACTTTAGCCTCATTGCTTCTGCTCCAATGTAGTCTCGAGTCAATGCCGAACCGACCATATCGCTCATGCCGTCTACCGCTACAAGCTTCCTTCCTCCGCCAGAAAGGCCCTCAGACGCGTCAGCTCCAAAGCTGGGAGCAGGTTGCCAATATAATCCCCCACTCCCAAGCAGACTGAAATCCCCTACCGGACAAACCTTGGAAGCCCAGCCGAAGTCTTCACAGGTTGGCCTGGAGAAGATAGGTGATGCCGAGGAGCAGGTGGGTCCTTGTTGGAACTGCAGCAGTTGTGTCTTTCCGCCGTTGATTGTTTCTGTTTTTGATGTGTCGCCTCGTCGCGGTAATTGTACTACTGGTAAACAGAGTATCACTATTGCTACAAGCATTTATGTTTTCAACAGTGATAATTGGCAGAACCAATTTCGACACTGTCACCGAACATGCTGATCGTAATAAGGTACTTGACTTGTTGCGCCTAGTCGTGCTAACAGTCCAAGCTCCACGCACCGAAGAACAATCCCTTCAGCAATCCTGAGGTTCCCAAGCCACCCCAAGTGTCCACACACAATGCACACCACACCGGCGGGAGCACGATTTGCACCCCATAATATGCACACCATCGCGGCAGGTGCAGCGGGAACCCGGATGCCAATTGTGGATTTCGAGACCAGTATAGGATTTGATTGGCGACTTCGGGCGATTTGAGGGCCAAAGGGATCACGGGTCTGTGGTGCAGTGCGAGCACGGTTGGTGGTGACGATGATGCTGACGTTGATGATGAAGAGGACGACCTGGCACTCTGATGATAGCGGCGACATGCGGCGACGGTGCTGATTCTTGGCTCGGTGCTTGTGTTTGTGCTCCAACGGCCGAAATCAGGTCAGTGGCTTGCAGCAGATGCTGGTGGAGTCGTCCCGCCAAGTTTTGATTTGGAGTAGCAGGGGGATAGGTGCTGAGAGGTTTCATTAGGAGCTACCATGCCACTGCTGCCAGTGCTGGTTTGATTTTTGGATCCGAACTTGCATTTCTCAGAGCATCGCACAGCATAAGACCTAAGAGCTCCAAGTCCATACCGAATCCCCTACCTTGCGCACTTACGACTTGTCCTCTCACGAATCTCTTGAGGCTGCAGGCGGTGACCTCAAAGGATGCAAGCATCCCGTAAAAGTCCGACGCGAAAGCCCCCGCACTGTTAAGCATTGCAAATACTGCAATGATTACTGTTGTCTTTTCTGTGTTTACTTCTGCTTCCTGTCGCGTCGATTTTCGGCAGCAGTAGCCGGTGCAGCAGGACGATTAATATTGCTAGCAGCGGCTTTAGTTGTAGTGGTAGCGGTAGCGATAGCGGTGGTGGCGGTGGTGGTGGTGGTGGTGGTGGCGGCGGCGGTGGTGGTGGTGGCAGTAGAAATAGTAGGAGTAGGAGTAGTAGTAGTAGTAGGAGTAGTAGCAGTAGTAGTAGTAGTAGTCGTCGTCGTCGTCGTACTAGTAGTGGTAGTAGTAGTAGTAGTAGTAGTAGTAGTAGTAGTGGTAGTGGTAGTAGCAGCAATAGTCAGTAGTAGCAGTAGTAGTAGTAGTAGTAGTAGCAGCAGCACAGGCAGCAGCAGCAGTTGATGTGTTTCCGTGTATGAATACCCCCGTCGCCGGACCTCCAGGAAGAAGCCGAAGCTCGAGCAGACGCAGAAGATGGTCGAGGAGATGATGAAGGCAGGTGTTCGACCTTCGCAAATTTACCGTTGATGTTGGAGCTCTATGATTGACACTTCAGGTCTGAGGTTTAGAGTTGTAGTTTATGCTACTGTTCGGCTCCTGGCCACATCAGCTTGCTTTACATGGGCAGGCCGCAGCGGCTTCGCATTCTCCTTCCTGAACAGCCTGTACACAATCCGAAGTCAGTACGCATGCTCTGCCAAAACTCTGTCTACCCGAGGACCCTTGAGCCAGCCAAACCTGATCTTGAGGTCATCGAAGTGGACAAGGCCGCCGCTCAAGAAGTGTCCACGAAGGTGGCGAAGGAGGAGGCAGAGGCACAGCGCGAGGTCAAGGTGTTGTGGTCTCCATGGGCCATTCTTCGGTTTATCACGTAAGACTGTACACGCAGACTGTACCGGGAGCTCAGGAGTTCAGATAACTTTCAGGTTCGATGATTTTAGGGCTGTGGCCGTGGCGAAAGGTTTCTGATACTCAAACAAATCTTGGGTGTGCGCCTGAAAAAGCTGAAGGATGTCCGCATATATCGGGCTCCATTTCTGAGATTCCCAAGCTTCCCCTCCGCCCTTCACAAAAAGTCAAGCCCAAAACCGTCAGGCCGGCTTCGGACTTCGATCAATGAGGTTTCTTTCTGATTCACTCGGGTGGGTCTGCAGGTGTCCGGGTTGTGGCAGATGGAGGTCGCCGCAAATGCGTGGAAGTCACTAAGGATGATCCTAGGTCGCGGTGGAACTTGCTCGTCGCGTTTGAGAGATACCGACCGAGAATTGACAGGCCAAGAACAAGGCTCAAGCGACCCAGAACATCAAGGACGAGCTATGCTCATGGTTTTGGAGTCTGCGAGAGAATCCGAGAAACTCCGGTAGTGCGGGCCGTCGTGAAGTTCAGCTTTCGGCTTCATGCTTTAGGGCTCATGTAGGCCTTTGCACAGAGCAGTGGGGTTCTCTGTCGGAGCGCAGCTGAAGCTCAGAAAAAGACTGTCGGGAAGATGATGAGGAGTTCAGGTAGGACATGAAAAGTTTGTTAGTTGTGGCCTTACAGTAGTCTCAAGATACGTCGAGCCGAAGGTGCTGAAAGAATGCAGCATCCTGCAGCAATTTCGACGAGCAACTGCGAACGGAGATGGAAAGTACCCGTAAAGTACGCGATATTGAATCCAGAACTTGTACATGACGCTGCACTCAGGGCAGAAAGACTATGTTTCTGGTACTGTAGTATTTGTCGAAGCATGCATGCACACGGAAGAGTCCTGAACCTGGCATGAGACTGACACTGCATCTTATTCGACGCGAAAGCGGATTTCGTCATGCCAACGAAGACTCAACACATTTAAATAATATCAGGCCTGGAGGCATCTTCAACTAAGTGTTCAGTGCAGCTGTGAAGATTGCCTGTGCAACGGCCTTTTGTACCATCACGATGAACTTCCCATATCCCCCGACCAAAATCCAGTTTACACCACGTTTGTTGCGAATGGTGCTTGGTCGGATGATAGGTGTGGCAAGGACGATGATGATGCTGCAGATGTTGACGATGATTGTTGTGATTGGGTGATTGTCAACCCCGCCGTCGTCGTCATCGTTGTCATCGGGTTGTTGTTGTTGTTGCTGGTGCTGGTGCTGGTGCTGGTGCTGGTGCTGGAGCTGGTGCTGGTGCTGGTGCTGGAGC